CCCAGCGAGCTGCCGCTTGTTTGCTCAAGTTCTGGGCCAAGAGACTAATTCTTGGTGACGAAGCAAGTACGGGGTAATGGTCGCTGCTCAGAAGCACGTCGCCCCTGTCAAGTCTGGTAAAGTCCAGATGCCACTCTGGTGACACGAGCACGATGTCGAGCGTTGAGCCCGAGATGTGCGTAGGCTGAGCCGAAAGCTTCACACCCGAACCGGCAACCCTAGCCCTACCCCCTACCTCAACCTTGCAGGCCTCAGCGTGCTGGATTCAACGAAAGGATGGAAGGCAACACCGGCCGGTTTTAGGACTTTCAGATTTTGGGCCTACCCCAGAAAAGGAGTCAAGGCTTCTCACTCTGGGCTGTTTGTGTTTCCCCTTTAGGGTTGCAGTCCAGTTTTCAGGTTGATGACTCGAGTTCGGGTTCAAGGTTCAACACCTCGAGGATGCTAAGCTCTTCACCTTCGAATCCGAAGCCATACCCAGGAGTCCGAAACCTTAGATCGAATTCCTGACGCCTGCGGCCCTGCGAAGGCAGCTGACTTCAGGTGGCGGGAGGCCGCGGTGCTTTGTGATGCAGCTCAGGATTCAGGAGCTTACGCTGAGTGCAGTTCTTCTCGTCTACCAAGCAAAATGGTCCATCGACGCTCGAATGAATGCAAGCCAACAGCCACAACTTTCAACTATCCCACGTACAGCCTGGGAGGATCAACGAACCTTAGTAGATAGAAATTGTAAAGAAGGTAGGCACATGTGAATAAAAGTAGCCTAAATGAGACGTATAGTTGTCCCTGCCGACGCTTACACCAGTCCTCCAAATAGATCCAAAACTACACCCTCAACCGTAGCCCCAAAAACGAAACCCCTAGTAAACCCTGTGAGCCCTTCCGTGACCAAAACCGGTCTCCAATGCCGATGGAAGGCTCGGCTTGCTCAGTGCCTTCTCTTCCTCAGCGGAGAGGTGGTGTTGGGGTGGGGGGCCGGGGCCTAGGGTACATAAACTGTGGGGTTTGCGAGGCTTTGGCATTGAGGATTTGATGTTTCGATTGTAAGGCCTTTCGCATTGAGGAGTTCATGAGTTTGGTTTGGATTTGTTCCTTCGGGATTGGGGACATGGGATGACAATGGATTACACAAGGGCTTTTGTGGAGTGAATGGGTTTACCCTAAGGGTCCAAGTACCTAATAATCATGCACTCTCCCAAATATTAAGCTAGAAAACTACTATCCGCAACCAAAGTACCTTATTATTGGGTCCTTTGGACCCTTAGGGTTAGGGCTCACGAGCCTGATTTGGGATTGACGCTCTTAGGAAAGGGTCAGCGCTTGTATTTCGAACTTCCGCGGAGGTGTGGTTCTTAGTTTCGGTGTCGGGTTTTGCATGGAAAGATCCATAAACAAAAGCGCCTATGGCACAGGGTCTGGAGGACTGTGTTGAGGGCACTTGGTGTAAGATATGCGTCCCTCGAGATGTTGTGTTGTTTTTGGGATTGCGATCTTGCCTGGTTTTTGCTAGAGTACCAAGTGTACACACGCACGCACGTACGTTAATATACACATTCGTTTGTTCCAACCTGTGCTTGTCCGCAGCAGGCCCACTACACGCAGGGTGCTCTGGACGCGCTTTGGAGGCAGTTCCGAGAGAGGCACGGCCACTCCGGGTGTGTGAGGTTTCTATGGTATTCTTGGAACCTGATACAGGTTTACGACGTGATGTTAGTTTAGGGTGGAGGTAAGACGACCGACGTGCCCATCGTGACAGCTCATTTGCCAATGTGTTCACGTGGTCGATCCCCTGTGCCTTCGTCCTTTCTTGTCTTCGTTGCGATGCGGGGGGCAGCATCACGACCAGGACGTAGCATCACGACAACAACAACCCACCATGCCACCAAGGCCCTGCAAACCAGAAATTCTACTGTACCACGAAGAAGTAAACACAGCTCTCCTTCTCAACGCCGCCCAGTAACCCCCCGCTACGGTTGCAGGAAGGCACATAGACACCCTCCACGGTTTGCGCAAGCGTCCCTCTTTGCTCTCTTCCGTTCAGGAACCCGGCCGTTTTGCTGGGGAACTCCTCCGCGGAGGCATGTCCATCGGTGATAGAACCGCTGTCAGGCTTGGCGTAGCTGTTCAGGAATTTGAGAGCTTGCAAGACTTTTGGGTTCATGATTGAGAGGATGGAGCACCATAGCAGCCTGAACAATGGATTTGCCCAGAGGCCACCAGCGGCGAAGCGCTGAAGGATTTCTTTGCGGCGGCGATGACCTTGCGGCGGCGCTCGCTGCGACCTGGTTGCAGTGGGGAAGAAAAAGAAGCGTGTGCACTTAAGGATCCTATTCAGGGTATTCAGGGGGGAAACGGACCCGGTGATTTTCAGGATATGGTCTTTTGGGTTTTAGGCCGGCATTCCGAAGCTGTACTTACCCCCGAACACCAAGCTCTGGGCCACCGGATCAGAATCTCGAATTCCTGCTATTTCGGCATGTTCCATGTAAGTCAAGAGCAGGATGAACTCAATTCTGGCTGTTGTGGGTGGATGGGTTCTTGCGTGGTATTTAGTTCTAGATATTATGGACTCCTTCTTGGGGCTGCTTAGCTGAGAGAACTTGCAGCCTGGGCTGACTGCCGAAATCTGCCGAAGATGAGTCCTGATCTGCTCCCAACTTAAAATCCTTGATCTGGCTGGCCGCTGTAAGCTCGAACAGCATTCCCAAACACTCAGCTTCAATTTTAAGCCTTCAACCTCGACCGTAAAATAGGTATAATCCTCCAGCCTACACTGTGCCAGGCAAGAGGTCAACTCCTGGAAAGAGGCTGCCAGATTTCAGAGCGAGACAGGTCTAGCGGATTGTTGATAAGGTTGAGCCCCCATTCTGTTTATTTGGCCCTACGCTGGCACATGGACCCCTAGAGCGACGATTTAGAAGGCAAACTTTGGTTGCAGCGCAGCTGTACCACAGTGGGCTTCTAGGTTCGTCCATGAGGAGGCTGGGGCTGCGGGAGTTGAAGGATGGTTGGGATGTAGGATTGGATCAAGGATTTGTAGGGTGGGTTTATGTACGATCTACCGATCGTCGAGCTTGCTCGGACTTTATGACAAGCACTCTGTATTGCTGCAAACATCTGCGGAATGGCTTCTCCCATCATGCATACTTCTCTCCTACAGCAGGTAGGCACAATCTTGGCACTGCAGACGAAGGCCGGAAACTCCCCTCAAACCCTGAACCTTACACAATCCCTGAACCTTACAAAATCCCTCGACACCACACGTCAGACATCTCAAACAGGTCAAACCGGCCTGGGCCCCCCTACTGCCCACACAGCCATAAAGCTGTACCAACCTCATAACTGCCTTAGTCCACCGACCCCATACTATTGCATACTATTGCAACTAGATCTGCAAAGTTGTGACAAAACTATGTGCCATGGCCTATTCCGTTGTAGTGGCAGGGCCGGGATCCTTTTAACGGCTGATTACCTTGGCCATAAGCAGAGAGTAGCATGTACGTAATGACATCTAAGAGCATTATGTATACGGTAACTAACAACCAGTAACACAGGCATTGCCAATACACACCCTTGTGCAAAGGACTTGCAGTTGGGCCTAGATTTAGGTAGGTTTTGCGGAGCACACCTGCAAGCAAAATAGCAGGCTCCTGTTGCCCAGCTCTTCGTGGAGCCGCGGTCGTTTTCGCGGCGACAGCGGGAGCGATTACTGGGCCCGAGCCCTGCAGGGTGCGCATTTTGTGGTGGATTCGTGGATTCGGTTCGGCTTGGGGTCTAACAGGGCTGAGGGTGCCTCGTTTAGGGCTCCGAGGTACTTAAGGTGTTAATTGCATGTTTTTTAAGCTTTAGGATTCCTTCGGGTTGGGGCGGGATGAACCGGGAGAATAGCAGGCTGCTGTGGGAACCGCCGATCGTTGTGCCTGAAGGTTTGTTCAGGGGTTCTTTTTATGTGTGGATTTTATCATTGACTGTCGACATACATAGGAGGTGTCTCCAAGTATGAACCTTACGGCTGGACCAGAAGTTTGATGATTGTTAAAGGCCTCAGGGTGCCAGTTGCTGCCCTGCGAGGCTCTTAGCCGCGTGCCCTCCCTGGGCCTGTCGAACAGAGCCCGCGACTTGAGAAATCTTTATAAAGTCCAAGCCCAAGGAATGATTGCCGAAACCCTGAGACCCTGAATCCTTAAGCCTGGAAGCCTTGAATCCTGACCGCTTACAGCCTAAAAGACCCTGAAAGCCACTTAAATGTTGAGACCCTTATAAACCCTCAACCCGACTCCTCCAACACTTCAAACCTTCGAGGCCAAGCCTACCAGCGTCTCCTGGATGCCGGGCTTCCACCCGAGGCGCGGCTGCGGAAGAAAGCAGAACTGGGTTACCGGCCTGACAAGAATCCCGATAAGTCACGTTGGCCAGAAAACCTATAGTTACCCGCAACCTATTTCTCGATATCTAAATCCTATAGGAGCTATCGAGAGTCGCCGTGTTTTCGTTGGGCTCCCTGGCTGGTTTGTATCTTCGTGAAAGGTTCTCATTACCCATGCCCTACAACCCCATCGTCATGCATGGGCACTCGACTCTGTTTGGCGCGGACTTCACGAGCTTCGGGTCTTGTGGCGCTTTGCAGGTGGCTTTCAACAAACTGGACAGCGACGCAGATGGGGAGGCTTTCGATGACCGAAGGGAAATCCGAAATTTCAGAATCTATGAAGACAAGCGGGTTTCGGTCTTGGCCCCCTTGCTTTTCAGGACTGGGCTCCCCGTGATTCTGATCTGAAAAAATCCTCAAAGACCGTATTAACGCTTAGTTCAGCGCAGAGGCAATGCACATTGCTTCCATGAAGAAGTGCCAGACCCTTATATGACCAGTATACACTGCTTGAAGCTGCAAGCTTAACCGTCGATAGTTGGCGTTCCCCTGGCAACATTTATTGCATCACAGTGGACGAAGGCAAGCTCTGCTGTGTGTCAAGAGAGACTCTCGGCACTTTCGGGCTTGACCAAGCATCCCAGCTCCCACGCTCGGTATCAGGTTTCGAGAAGGTTTCTGGTCATCAGCTCGGAATGTAAACACGGTGAAGAATCCCTAAGCTTTCTGCCGCAACCCTCAGGCCTCTTCAAGTCCTAAGGTCCTAAACCTAACATATCAGGAAATTGTCCCGATTACGTTTAATGCAGAGCCAGCCCGTTCCTCAACTCAATCACATGCCTCAGCTCGCGGCGGCGGATTTCGCGGCAGCGGGCCGTGTGGGCATTACGATGCCGGCGGAGCTCTTACTGAGGCCTCGTCTTGTCTCTTTGTTTGTTCAGATAGGCTCAGAGGCCAACTTTGGCTAGCGCGGTGGTGCCAGCAATTTCTTTTGCTATAGCATCAAACTTCCCAGAACCCAGTACCCCTTTGTGCAGGCTCTTTGAGACCGTGGACACGGCACGGCGGGGCCTCATCAGCCTGGAGGCAGAAGCTATTGGGATTGAAGTGTTGTGGGTTTTGAAGCCTGGAGGCTTCACGGCTTCACGGTACGTCAGGGTTTAGAGTTGTCTGAGAAGCAGCTAGGGTTGTATGTCTGAAGGCAGAGTTGCAACTTACATTGCAAAGAGTGGGGAAGACCTTGAGATCCACGACACGATCCTGTCTGAGATGTGATTTCACATTGTATTCACTGAGCAGTCGCTGGGCTTTGAGGACCGTAGCCGGCAGCTCAAGAGTGCAGTTGCAGGACTGTGCCACTGTGCACCGAAGCTATGAGACCAATACTGATCTCCATAGCTCGGTTGCCATGTTGGCCGCGGCAGACATGTTGCACCCTCGCACTCTGGAGCCAGCGGGGCGCAGCGTCAACCGCCAAAGTCTACGACGACAAACCACCGAATCCGATTTGCCACGAGGTTTTGACCCGAATGGTCGAGGAAGCCCGGAGCCCGCCGATGCAAAGACGTCAGAAGACTGGGCTTGCGAAGGCCGCCTATAGCTACATGTATAGGTCAACTCTTCGGGGTTGGAGCATCTTTTTGGCCCACATGGTCCGCCGACGGTCCTGCAAGAAGGGCTGGCAGTGTGACGTAGATGCAGACTTTTTGCTTGACCTCGTGCTTGAGCAGGGTGGTTTGTGTGCATATTCCGGTGTACCGATGGAACTGTTGAAGCCAAACTCGCACTGGAGGGTTTCCATCGAGAGAATAGACAGCAGCCAAGGTTATCTAAAAGACAACTGCTGTCTCATTGCCGCGGAATTTAACTCTCAAGTTCACGCCGAAGTGGGTGGAGTGGAGGCTTCTGGATCTGCACAGTGGTCAAAGCAGAAGATCCAAGCGGTGGCCCGTCTCCGGACAGAGGAGATGCCTTTGCAGCAGCTGGAGGAAGAAATTGCTGCTGCCCACCACCGCCAGCCTCGGAGTTCCGCATCGCGCAGGATACGCTTTCGAGGACCAGATGCAGATGGCAGGTGGCGATGCGGGTCGTGTGGAGTGTGGAAGGCTGCTGATCAGTTTTACAAAAAAGCTGCAAGCACAAGCGGCCTGCAACACGAATGTTCGCAATGTCTACGTCACTGGCAAATGGTCTGGCGGCAGACAATGCGCGGGCACGGCAAGGCGCTTGTTTGCGAGGCTCGCAAACGCTGGTTAAGAGGCACTCACAGTGGAAGTTTCATGCTTGAGTTGAACGACCTGCTTGACATGCTATGGCTCCAAGGTGGACGCTGCTATTATTCAGGTGTGCCACTGCATTGTGCAAGGGGCCCTGCGGACTGGGTTTGGTCTATCGAACGCCTGGACAACTCGTTGACGTATACCAAACAGAACTGCGTGTTGATTGCAAGAGAGTTCCAGACATCTGACCAGAGTCGTAACAAAGCGAAGCATCCAGTGTATGGTACTGCCCAGTGGTCGCGCCGCAAGGCTGGCCACATTTGGGGACCATACTGGCCACCCGATGTGTGCCCCGGCTCTTGAGAGAGCACTGCCTGGTTTCGCGCCAGACTTTTCGGAAGCTTCAAACTTCTTGCTGATCCTCCGTCCTCCATGTTGTAGCACTTCTCAACCCCGAAAAAGAGTTTCAACATGGTGCCCCTGACCATGTTCCGCCAAAGCCCACGAGGCCCCAGTCCTGGTGTTTCCTGTTGCAGCGTTCAATAGGAACCCCTAGCTTGCAGCCGCCATGCATGTCTTTTTTCAGAACTCTCAACAACATAGCACGTTATGTTTGTCCGCACCACACCAAAACCGTAACTGAAGTCGGAACACACCAGTAGGATGAGCAGGTTGGACGTCCGCGCTTGAAAAGATGGTCTCCTGGTAGGCTTGACCTTAAGACTCGTAGGCCCGTACGGTTTAGAGAGAATCACACTCTAGATCGGGGTCTTTCCGATGGTCTGCCACAGCGTACAGCGTACAGGAGTTCAAGTCCTTCTAGCAGCTTTTGAGATGTTGAGTGGCAAAATGCAGACCCCTGATCAATGAACCCCCGTCCTCGCGGATAAGGAGTATATACATGGTAAGATGCTTCGAAGCCTGGGTGCATCACATTCGTGTCAGACTTGTGATGGCTCTGTCATAACGGCGTCTCTCGATCAATTAGTCGGTCTATCTATCTATCGATCTATCTATATTTAGTTATGTATTTGTTGCTTGCCGTTTTTGTTATTCATTTATTTATCTGTTTCGTTATTTATTTGTTTCTTCGTGTATGTCTTTCTTTCTTGATGCATTTATTTATCTGTTCCTTTATGTATGTATTTATTTCTTTATGTCTTAATTTCTGTCTTTCTAGCTTCCTATCGATCGATGTATCTATCCATCTATCTGTCCATCTATCGACGTAGCCATCTATTTACCTACCTAGCACTCTATCGATTTCTCTCGGACTCTGTTTCCTGGGCTTCTCATCGGCTGTATGTCGTGCCATAGATGAATCCTAGATGAACATCACCCAAGCAGGGTGAGATCTAATTTGTGTCGAATCGTCAGGCAAGTTCTCCATATCCAGTGTACATAATATAGGGGATACCTGAGAGGCACTGCACGATGTACGACATCGAGAAAGCCAGAAAGTGAAGAGGATCCCACAGACTCAGCTGTTCAATGAAGGCTCCTCTATTTGAGCAACTTCGCCATGGCATCTGACACCAATGCTTCAGGGTGATTGACTGCTTGCCGGGCGGCATGCGCATGCAGTGCAGGGCTCCAGAAGTAGAGTTTTCATGGTTCTTGCGCTGTGCCGCTCGGCGGCCGCTCGGATAGCAGTTCTGTGGCAATGCTATGTGTCGGCCACTGCGCAAGCTGGAATCCTTCCGGGACTCCAGCTTGAACGCAGTGCAACTCATGACGCGAATCAGCAAAGCTGGATCTTTGCGTCCTCATCACTACGCTGGCCGGGCCTGAGAAATTGCACCCTGACAGCCCTGGCAGCCCTGGCATCGTGGAGAAAGCGAGCTGCATGTAAGGTGGGCCGGAAGATCTCAACTTCCAACGTCTACGACGACAAACCGCCGAGTCCCATTCCCAGTGAAGACCTGGCACGACTGGTTCAGGAAGCCCGAAACCCACCGAGGCTTCGACGCAAGGGGCTGTCACATGCGGCCTACTGCTACCAGTATAGATCGACTCTGAGAGGCTGGAGTCGTGATATTGCCAGCCAGGCCCGCAAAAGAGACCGCACGAAGGGCCGGCAGTCCGATGTAGATGCGGATCATCTGCTGGACCTCGTACTTGAGCAGGATGGCCTATGTGCATACTCCGGGATACCATTGGAGCTGTTGAGGCCACACTCACACTGGAGGGTCTCCATTGAAAGGATCGACAACCGACAAGGTTACGTTCAAGGAAACGTCTGTTTAATTGCGGCTGAATTCAATTCATCAGTCCGCAAGATGTGCCACGAGGACGAAGGCTCTCCTTCTGGATCTGCGCAGTGGTCCAGGCAGAAAGTCCATGAGCTGGCCCGTGTGCGGACAGAGCAGGTGCAGTTGCAACGGCTGCAGGAAGACATTGCTGTTGCAAGGCGGCGCCCTGCCAAGAGTCGGACAACTCGACGCGGGGGATTTCGAGGACCGGATGCAAAGGGCAGGTGCCTGTGGAGTTTGGCAGCAGGGGTCGCACTTCCATAAGAAGGCTGCAAGCAGGACTGGGCTGCAAAGCTGGTGCAGGCAGTGTGTTGTATCAGGACGGCTGCAGACCATGCGCGGGCACGGGATGCAGCTACTCGCTGCCGCCCGCCGAAGAGATAGAAATTGCCAATGGCACGAAAGTTTTGCCCTCGATTTGGACCACATCCTTGGTATGCTGTGGCTCCAAGGTGGATGCTGCTTCTACTCAGGTGTTCCTCTGCATTGCGCAGCAGGCCCTGCCGATTGGGTCTGGTCCATCGAGCGCCTGGACAACTCCGTCACATACACCAAAGAGAATTGCGTGTTGATTGCCCAAGAATTTCAGACAACCGACCAGAGTCGCAACAAGGCGAAGTTTCCTGTTTTCGGCACTGCCCAGTGGTCACGAAGCAAAGTGAACCACATCTGGGGACCTTACTGCCCAGACCGTGAAGCTCGGGTTGTGCAGGATATGTTGACGGCTGGACAAAGCACCAGCGGCTTTGGCCTAGTCGAGCTTGAAAGTGGCGCCAATGGGCTCTCAGTCATGGAAGCTCAATTGAGTCACGGTCAAAACCCCGTTAGTCTAGGCTGTATTTTGGAATGACCCACGGTTTCCAACAGTCTTTGATTACGAGGGCGGCCGCAACTACATGCATAGGTTGAACGGAGTCGGAGGTTGCGTTTGTGTGTGTCTGGCCGATTACCGATACCCCGCTCGATACCCCCCAGCGGTCGCGCGTAACTCGACAGTAGCTGCTGTCAGTAGCTATATAGGTAGGCAATCTGGAGAGCTGTTGCACTGTACTTGCGTTTGGCAACGTGTCAGTCGCCAGAACGGTGTG